GGCCAGCCAGCCTAGACTTCTTAGTGTGCTTCAGGCCAGTGAGAACCTGTCTCACTGAAATGACACCCAAGGTTGTTTTCTGACTTAGAGAGAGAGAGAGAGAGAGAGAGAGAGAGAGAGAGAGAGGAGGGAGGGAGGGAGGAAAAGAGAGAGGGAGAGGGACAGAGACAGAGAGAAATATAGAGAGAGACAGAGAGACAGCTGAGACACACACACACACAGAGACAGAGACAGAGACAGACATATCTCCCACAGGCCACAGGCTGAGGTTTAGGTGAAAATAGAAACAAAGAAACACATCTAAGTTAATAAACGAAGACTTTCTCAGGTCTGTGCTCCTAACATGTCTGCCTCAAAGACTATATAGAGTTTCAATTGAAAAACCCTAAATTAGGGTCACTGTAATGACTTGGCGGGAAAAGACACCTAACTGCTGCCAAGCCCAATGACCCAAGTTCAATTCCCAGACCTATATCATGGAAGGAAGAGAACCAACTCCCGAAAGTTGTCTTTTGATCTCTATGTGTGCACTGTGGCATGTGTGGGCATATAAAAACACCAGGCAAAGGCTTTCTGCCATTAAAATTGTCCAAAATCTGACTTGACGATTGCCGATGCTTGGTAAAACATTTGAATGCAGAAAAATACAAGTGGTGCTTAATTCTACTTCCCAGAGAACTCTGTTGTTAAATATGTGCAGCTGCTGATTACATATAGAGCTTGCAGGAAGATGGAAATGGGACCTGCCTTCTTCCCCACCACTGGTTGCTCTGGTCACTTTGGTGACTTTTGCATCTGTACAGGAAACAGAGTAATTAGGGAGCTGCTTTCTCATGGCTGTGTCAAAATACCCAGCAAGAGCAAGGGGAGGAGGGGCTTGTTTTGTTGGCAGTCTGAGTCTATCATGGCTGTGGAGGCAGGGTGGCGGCTGCTCCTGTGCCCACACCACAATGCAGAGTGGTCGTCCTCGTGTCACAGTCTTCTCCCAGGAAGTACATAGCCCACCTCGCCCATTATATACTCGCTCTAGTCATTCAAGATAAAAAGTGAATCTGGCATTCACCTTTAATCTCAGCACTCAGGAGGCAGAGTCAGGCAGAGCACTGTGAGTTCAAGGTCAGCCTGGTCTACAGGGTGGGTTCTAGGACAGCCAGGGCTATACAGAGAAACTGTCTCGAAAAAACCAAAAGCTAATCTGATCTTCATTATTCCATAATAGCTCAAGTGGAAATGGCCCTAATATTGTTTTTATATGATTTATGTGAAAACTATGAAGGGACAGCTTTAAAAATATGCATAGGAGAGATAAATACCAAATTTTGGAGAAAGATTACTTAGAGGGAAAAAGAAGGGGGGTCTGTCCTAAAAATGAGATCTCAAGGTAAATTGTTCTTTGAGAACTTCACACTTGTAGAGAATGAAATATGAAACATTGATCCCCCACTTTCACCTCCAACTTTCCCTGGTATTCCTGTATCACACCTACCTCTCAACTTCACGCCCCCTTTTCTTTTAATAACTCACTAAGTGTAGTTAGTGCTGCCCTTAAATACATCCCTTGGAGCATGGGCAACCTACCAGTGTCCTCATCCCCAAAGAACAACGAAGCTTCCTGCCGGAGCAACCATCAGCTGCCAACAGCTCCTCAGCTATGGGTGTCTTGAGCTCTTCCCCATCCGTGCTAGAACTTCGGCTGGCTTGGTCCTGCACAGGTCTTGTGCAGGTAAACCACAGCTGCTGTGAGTTTATGAGATCAACAGCCACATCATATCCAGAAGACGGCCTTTCACAGCACTTGTCCCTATTCTTGGACTCTAACATGCTCCCCACTCCTCTTCAGCCATGTTGGGTAACCGAGGGAGTTGGTAAGATGTCCCATTGAGGGCTAAGCACTCACAGTCACTTGTTCTTGGCACGTTGACTGTAAGTATTTCGGAACAGGAGTGGGTCAGGTATTCTGGCACTCGGGAGTCACAGAATACTGAGTGTTACACAGCTCAGGTGGAATGGTATCCTGGAGCTAGGGAGCAAAGTGCCACCACAGGTTGCAGTAAGCTTAGCAGCTTACAGCCTTGCCTCAGGGAAAGGCTTCCCTGGTGTATTGGCTTGCTCTGGCAGGACAGGGTCTTCCAGCTGGGGATGTTCGCCTAGTGTAGCAGTTCTGCTCGGCAAGAGGTTTCCCGGGCAAAGTTGCTACAGTTCAGCTCTGCTCCTGGAGAGCAGAGAGCTGAGAGCGGAGTTGTTACACTCAGCTCTGCCAAGGGAAGGTTTCCCGGGCAAGTGTTATAGCCCTGCTTGCTCCACTCTGCTCTGCCCAGGGTCACCTTTGCTCAGTTGCCGCAAAAGAAGATCTTCACCCAAAGCTCAGTTGAAGGGGTTTATAGGAAGGCAGCTGGACCAGCCAAGCTGAACATACACAGGGTTTATATAGGGATTCTTGGGGGGGGGCGGGGAAGTTTTTCCAGGGTAGGGATTGGTCCGATTTCAGTGCTCTGAGCTCTGATTGGCTAGAGCTCTGCTCAGGGATTGGTTACTTTTCTGCACAGGATTAAGGCCAGATTTGGCTCTGGTTTCAGGACCAAAGTGTGTTTCTTTCTCTGGTCCTTTTTAGCCTTTTGGCTCCAATTTTAGGGCCAGGGTGCATTTCTTTCACTGGCTCTGATTCCAGGGACAAAGTGTGTTCCTTTGGCACTGGTTTCAGGGCCAGGGTACATTTCTTTGGTTCTGGTTGCTGGGCCAAAGTGTGTTTCTTTGGCTCTTCTCAGGGTATGTTTCTTTGACTGGCCCCTTTTCCCTACATTGACTGGTTATGATCTCTGCTTGAGATCACTAATAAACAAAAGGGGTGCAATTTTTATACTCTTTGGAGATTAGCAGTAAATTCAACATGGCTATATAGCAGGAATATTTTACTGTAAAAATGTAAAGGTATAAAGGGGAGACTAAGTAAGGAATATCCATTAAGGGGGCATGCTGGGGAAATTGGAAGGTAAATCAGAGTAATTAATGTTCTGCAAGCAATCTCAGAAGGCACAGATGGGGACGGGGCAAAGGAGGAACAGACAGGAATGGAGACTCCTTCCCTTACCTCCGATCTCAGGATAGTGACCACCCCTTCTGTGTTTTTCTTTTGCTGTTATCTATTTCTGGATACTTTTCTTTGATAGGACCCTTAGAATCCCAGCCTCAACAGTCCCTGCTGTGCTACCAACATGTGAAGGCTAGCCCCGTCCCTCCTCTCTTGGTCAGCACCCCTTGTTACTGTAGAGCTTCTGGAATCTCTGTCCTCTCTCTCATAGATGACTGTGCTGGTTCACTTCAGCTATCGACCCGATAACAGCCCAGAGTCATCTGTGGGAGACTCAGCTGGGGGACCTCCCAGATCAGATTGGTTTGTGGCCCTATCAATGAGAGATTGTCTTGATTGGAGATTGGTGTGGGTGGGCCAAGCTCACTGTGGGTGGAAACATCCCTCGACCTGGGCTGTATGAGAAAGCTGAACAGAGTCTGAGAATGAGCCCATCAACAGCATTCCTTCGTGGGCTCTGACTGTTTTCCTGGGGTTCCTACAATTCTATGGGGGATCCTACTGTCTCTTTTGGACTCAATTTTTGGGTAAAGAGCATGGATCCCCTCTCTAGGACTCACTGACTGTCAACTACCTTTCCTTCATCTCCTGATTTTCTTCTAGGCTAGGGATTCTTTTCTAATATAGTTAGGAGGGCCAGGCTTATTCTCACTTCCTGCCCATGCTGTGAATGTTTTTCCTTTCTCTCTGGGTCTGGGCTTCTGAAACTCATGACTAGAAAGAGAGACCCCTCCTTTCTGCATTTGACAGTCATTTTATCTTCAGGGGTGGAGAATAATAACCCGTCTTGTTCTTGTTGACAAGTATTGCCTTAAACTCACAGAGACCCATCCTTTTTTGCCTCCCAAGTGCCATCATGCTTGACTTTAATCTGGCTATTTTACTGGGAAGAAAGATCAAGAAAACGTGGGAGAGTGGCTTGGGCGAAGCAAACAGTGAAGTACTTGATAATACACTCGCAGTGTTTGATGGATCCGATGATGATAATGCTGACAACAATAATGACATCATTAACATCTATTGAGCACTTAGTGTGTGCCAGGTCTGATCCTAAGTGCCCTCTTTTCCTGACACTCCCATTAGTTGTTCCGTAACTGTGCATTTGTGTTAGTCTCAATAACCATCAGAACTGCTGAGATCTAGAAGGGTAGAGGGACTAATGGCTCCTACCATATGCAAACGGTGGGGCTGGACTTCATGCAGTAGCAACGTCCCTAGAGGCCCTACCCCTCAGCCCTTGGGCATAAAGAGTCATTCTGTTTCTCCATCACACTCCAGCAGCTTCCCCTTTCTCCCTCGCCCTGGCGCAGGTGACCTGCCTCACCATCAGCCTCAGAGCCTGGTCGCTCTCTCTGTTTCTGTGCTGTTTTCTCGCTTCTCCACACTCTTCCAAACGCCCTTTGTCTCATGCTGTTGGTTCAGCCTTTCAGATAACATAATGTCTTTAGCTGAGAGCTCGGTCCGCAAAAGTGAGGAAGTGGCAAGAACAAAGAGCAAGCAGAGTGTGAGCCCTTGCAAAAGGGCAAGAAACCTGGGATCCCATGGTCTGTGCACTTGAAGGTCTCCAGGCTGTCTCTCCTGGCCTCCCAGGCTCCGCCTCAAGAGGGCAGAGCATCTTCTATTAAGTAAAGTATGCGTGATTTCAGGAATCTCCCCAGTTCTGAAATATCCATTGCCAGAGGAGTGCTGTGCCTTTGGATTAACGTGCTAAAGATACCCTGCATGGATGCAGTTCCACAGTTCAGGTATCAGACATTCCGATCACTGCGTGGCTGGGATGAGCCAGACTGCTTAGCCTGACAGCCTTCTAGAGGACTACCATCTGATGGGCGGTAGAAGGAAGAGGAGGGAAGTTGTAAGGCGGCACAGGGCTTTGGTACAGTGGATGTGAGGATGCGTGTCTTCTCTGCAGGTGAGGACTCCATCAGCACGCTGGGCATGATCCTTGGAGTGGGACTGTCACTGCTGCTTGTGTCCATCCTTGGCTACAGTTTGGCCAAGTGGTACCAGCGCGGGTACTGCTGGGACGGTGAGTGAGCCCCATGCCAAACAGTCCCAAGCTCTGCTCTGCCAGTCCTCATTAGTAGGGCTGGCAAGGCTGGGCGGGGTGGCAAGTCTTTCAGCACAGCACGATGCAAAAATATTTCCTCTGGTGGTTGCAGTGGTTGAAGATTTGAGTGGGTGGCTGAGCAACTGAAGTGGGCTCAGATGGGGAGGAGGGGCTTTATCCAGGGAGTGGAGGCTCCTCCCACTCGAGGAAGTAGCCAGCTTCTAATTTTTTTGAACTCCTCAAGACCAAGGGCCACACCTGGAAGGCTAGGGCACCAGACTGGCTCCTTATGTGTCTTTCTCTGTCTGTGGGTCTTCTTGTGTCCCCTGTCCTCCCCTCCAACCATGTCCATGAGGTGTGAATTTACAATTATCTATTGAGCATCTACCACGTACCAATGCACTTTTCCTTGGTATGTATTTTTAACATTCCACACAATGAATAAATTGTATTTTTCCTTGTTTTTATATGGCCTTGATATGGATAACTATCAATCTTCCTGCCTCAGCCTGAGTTCTGGGAGTATAGCCAACCACCATCATGTTCAGGGTCAGGGTACATTTCTTTGGGCGGCTTCAGCCTACCTTTTTTTTTTTTTTGAGACAGTCTCTAGTCCAGGCTGGCCTTGAATTACCTATGCAGCTAAGGATACCATGAACTTCTGATCTTCTTGCCTCACCCCCTCCAAGTGCTAGGATTAAAGCTATACATTACCACCCCCAGTTTACGCTGTGTTGGGGAAGGAATCGGGGCTCTTCACATGCAAGATAAATACTCTACCAACTGAGTGACGTCTTCATCCCTCAGCTTCCATTATTGAAGTAGACAGGCATATGCAGTGGACATCTGCTGGGAGCCAAAGGATTATTTAGTAATTAAGCAGCCTCATTTCACAAGATCAAACCATCAGCATCAAGGATTGTTTTGGAGGGTTAAACCAAGATGTTAGACATATTGCCTTGTGAATGATTTGGCTGTTTGCTTGCTGTAGATTTCTTGCTGTAGCTTACTCCCATCTGTTAAAATACTTGGGATTTATTTCCCACAGTTCAGCACTATTTGATCATTTATTGCACACAATTTCCCCTATGCATTTGGGGTATATTGCTAATAAGAAATTTAGGATTTTAAGATAAATTATTACTAAAAAATACAATATTATTTACTGGGACATGTAGCCAGCTATGTGACTTGTTGAGCCAAGGTAAATAGTGCAAAGTAACCTAATTGTGGTACCAAGGACAATAATGAACTCTTTGCACAGATTCCTAGCCTCAGTTTTATGGCTTTTGTTCAGATACCACGGGATGTGATTTCCTGGCTGACCAGGGTTAACTACAAAATATAAATTAACTTCATAACCCCAAAATAGAGTTACAAGCTTCTCTTTCTACTGTAGGGTTACATGATGAACAAAACAATTATATCTTGCAGCCTGGTCTACAGAGCAAGTTCCAGGACAGCCTCCAAAGCAAAACAGAGAAACCCTGTCTCGAAAAACCATATGTGTGTGTGTGTGTGTGTGTGTGTGTGTGTCTTAAGATTTGAAATGCTTTTAATGCCACTGTGCCTTGGCGAGTGTTGTAGGGGGTCCTCTACCCCTTGCCCCTGAAGCTCACACTGCTGCACTGTCTCTGAGGACTCTTCAGTAAACAGACAAGTCTGCAGTCCCAAAAAGCCTGGCCTTTACAATGACTAATCACAAAATGTTTAAGATGTTTTATCCACTCGAAAGTACAGGATATCACACACAATTTCCTTATTTCTTTCATTATTTTAGTTCCAGAAGTCTATCTCTATAGATAACAAAAAAGACTTCTCCTTTCATAGCTGCATTTTGCAACCCACTAGCTAAGGAGTTAGCTGAAGGAAAATGCTCCTTTCTGACTATCTGGATTTATTGCACTTGAGTTGCTGGGATGATTGCCTTTCTTATCACTTACTTAAGAAATGTGACCTTCAGATGAATACCTGCAAGACTGTGGGCCTTTGTAATCTGAGTAGAACAAAGAGAGGCTGAGGCAGAAGCTGGAGGAGAAGCTGGCCGAAATGAGCAGAAACAGGAAGAAGAAGAAGGAGGAGGAGGAGGAGAAGAAGAAAAAGAATGTAACAGAAAATTGCATTGGAGTTAGAATTGAGACAGAGAATTAGAGCTAAGAAATTGTAGACAGTTAAGATAGCAGAATTAGAATAAAGGCAAAAGAAAAAAGAACAACAATTAATAAACATGTTGTAGTGAGGTGGTGTGAGTGATTTGTTTCTTTTTTTAATAATAATTATTTTTTATTTAGGTTAGAAACAATCTTGTTTTACATGTCAATCCCAGCTCCCTCTTCCTCCTCTCCTACCCCGCCCTCCCCACCAGGTCCTCCAGTCCCCCACCCAATCTCCACTCCGATCCCCAGGGAGGGTAAGGCCCTCCTCGGTGGATCTCTGGTGACAGTCATTTCATCCAGAGTAGGGCCTAGGCCCTCCCCCAAGAGTCCCAGCTGAGAGAGCTTCCCATATTATGGTATGGGCACTCAAAGTCTATTTGTATGCCAGGGATAAGTACTACCCATGGCCTCATAGACGATTTGTTTCTTTGTTGTGGAGTCTTGGTTGGACCCTCAAGGGGTCTGAGGGTCTGGTACTCCAAAAGACCCAGTTTAAAATCACAGGATTGCAATATGGAGATGGGGTGAAGCCTAGGTCTGGTTCTTTCGGGGGCACTAGGCTAGAACTGCTTCCTTCTGAGGGTGATCAGGGCTCCTGTTGGAAGGACCTTGAAGGGTCTTAAGAACCCCACGCAACACCCAAGACCAGCCTCTTTACACTTTGGGCAGATGAGGGAAGCACCATATGTTCCCAGAGGTCCTAACTCTCTTTTCTGTCTGTCTTCCCAGGGCCTAATTTTGTCTTCAACTTATACCAAATCCGGTGAGTAGATCCAAGACAGATTTGGGTGGGCTGGCATTAGGGACTAAACACAATGTAAAGAATTAGAGACAGAAATGGAACTTACTGCTTCCCTTCCCTGGCTCTCTCCTAAGTAAACCAGAAATATTTCTTCCATTTAGAAAAGTTCTCAGCACCATGTGAGGCCCTGATGATAACAGTCATCTCAGCATTCACTCTCAGGCAAAGAGCATGCCACCCATGCACCCATCTGTCTACCCACTCTACTCATGTGCAAACTTGCCTACTCATTCATCCTTCCTTACACCCACCGTGCATCTATCCATCCGTAACCCACCCACCTACCCGCTTATTCATCAATCCACCCATCCATCCACCCCACCACTCACCAACTCATCATGCGCCACCTACCTACTCTTCTCATCTACCTATCAACCCCCACCACTCAGCCATGAATCCATACATTCATTCATGTATTCAACCATTCATAGATGTACACACGCATCCATGCACGTGTCCAAGCAAGCATGCATCATCATCTATTCACCTATACACTATCCATCCATCCATCCATCCACTTATCCATCCACCTGTTTATTATTTATTTTAAAAAGCTTTATTATAGACAGTTTATGGTATTTATTTCTGAGAATACAAAGACGACTTGGCATATTCTCTGTTCCTAAGCATTTCACTGTCAATGCTGGAGACAAGCCTGATTGCGAATAATGCAGTCTTGGGCACAGTATAGGATTTAAAAAAAGAAGAACAATCTAAGAAAGTCATGGATTTGAGGAACAGATGTGAGGAAGACGTCTCAGGGTATGCCATCTCACTATTCCCTGCCACAGGGCAAGTCTGCTTCTCCTCTGGCCCTGGGAGATGAGACAAATCTTCATCTGGAAGATAAATAAATGAGTCAGGGGCCTAGAGATTTCCCTACTTCTAGGAACCACTTTGTAGATTCTACTTTAGGGAGAGGCTGGGCTCTCAGTTTCAATAGCTTTATTGGAACTCTGTCTCAGGAACTTAAAGGACTTGGAAGTGGGACCACCCTTTACCATCAGCGGCCACATGAACGGTCCAGATGGCGGCTACATGAAGTTCTCCAATGAAAGAGTCTGATGGAGAAGCATCTAGGCTCTGGAGGTCAGGAGAGGTGAGTAGAAGGGAAGAATTCCTCAGTGGGTCTGATGTCTGAGTAAGGTCCTAAAAGAGTCCAGGCTGTCACCAGCCTAGCACCAAGGACCACTCATAACACAAATAATTACTCAGTCTTTCCTGGGAGAGTCAGGCAAGATTGACAGCATAGTAAAGCCCTTCCCAAGCCATTTTCTCCTTTTAGCATCTCTTCTCTTTACACAGGGAAAAGGCTCCTGGGTCATCATGAGCTCCTTCAGCCTTCTTGGGTTGCCCTCCCTTCCTGGGTCCTGAAAGCCCAGCCTGGCCCAGAGTGTGGAGAACAAGGAACCTTTTCTAGGTCCTCTTCCAGCCTTCATAGACTTGAGTCTCTGTGGATGGGCCTGACCAGCCTTAGCAATTTTCTCATGGGACTCGGAGAAGCAACTGTTCCCTGGGGTTACAAACTGTATTCCAGGAGAGTCTCAGGAATCATAGCCATTCCAGCCCTCCTTCTCCTGTTTAACGAAGCCCAGAGTGGAAAGCATGCCCCCCCCCCCGACTCCACAGTGTAGATTAGATTGTCCTGTGGAATCTCCTGCAATTTCATTTTTGTAAAGTTGATACCAGGGGCTGGAGAGCCAGTCATCTTCATTTAGGGAGTTACGTGTTTATAAGGGTGATTTCAGACCTTTTAACCTTTCCATCAGTGACCAGCTTCCTTGAAGGCTGAACTTGGTCTTTCCCTTGTCCTTTCCGCCTCTGTTTGATTTGGCCACTTTCCACCCTTCCCCACCGTTGCTGTCTCCCTCTGACCAGCTCTTTCTCTAGTGACAGGCCTCAGTGCCCACCACACATGACCAGAGCAATTAAAAACCGTGTCCCTGTTTAGGCTCCTGAACTGGGGTGGGCATGAGGCTCAGGGTGGGTTTTGTCCCCAGGTCCTGCTGTCATGTGTAAAGCACACCTATGTGACAGAAAGAAACTGAGGTGTGGAGCAGTGGGGAGCCCCTGGCTGAGGCCGCACAAAGCGGCTAAGGACAAGGACAAGGGTGCATTGCCTCCCTCTACCTCACCAGTTTCCTAGGAGGAGCTGGTACTAGGAGATCGAGCTCAGTGGGCGCCTTTGGTATGAAGTGGGTCTATCCAAAGAGGCTGAATTCCTGGAGCAGCTGTAGCTGGAGGAAGACATAAGCCCACCACAGAATCAACCAGCCCCAAGTTCAAGGCCAAAGGATGCTGAGGCCAGAACGGAGGCAGGAAGGGGAAGGCTGGCTATTATTTGCTCTCCTTATGCTCATTTTTTTGCTGAGGTCACTGTGGGATTTTTATTATTATTATTCTGTTTTTCTTCTCTCTCATTGGCCCACAGCAGACTGCAGAGAAAGGAATGAGCCAGGCCTAGAAGGCCCTTACTGCTTCCTTCCAGGGCCTGGAGGTCTTTTATTCCTAGCTCAGATGGGCTTGGATACAACACACCAAGCCTGTGGAGAAGGGCCTTTCATAGCTTTGGGTCTTCTCCCTTCCTCAAAGAGGAGAGATGGAGAAATTGGAGCCTGCTGCCTTTGGCTTTCTTCTTCTTTGGATACCAGCTCTGCAGGCTGGACCCCACAGGTTATGCAGCCCCAATAATAACTCTCAACTCTGCCCTGCTCTATACAGTCTGTGGGGCCTATTGGGTCCCTTGGAAGTGTCCAGGACTCAGTGAGCCTTTTGGAAACTTGAAAGGAGGACGAGACTGGAGCCCCAGGTAGTTCTGGGTCCAGGTTGTGTGGCTTCAGGTGAGGACAAGGACATCTGGTGAGGACTGGGAGAACAGTGGGTATTTCCCATGCCCAGAAGCAGAAGCGAGAGAGAATTGCTTCCTCTTTCTGAGTCCGCTGACGCGCTCTGTGTTCCCTTTATGCCCCCTTGTTTTCCTTACTTCCGCAGGCCCATGGTATAGAAGTTTTCTTTGCCCCGGATAGTGGCTCCACCCTAGGAGTGCTCTGTTGAAGGCTGCGAAGGGACAGATTCTAGCTTTCTCCGAGATGGACTAGAAACCAAGCAACAGGTCTGTGAGGCCGGACACTGACTGGGCACTCGGATCCGTGGCCATGCCAGGGCCTCCCCAGTGCTCCTCCCCCTCCCCGCTCCTTTTCCTCCCTTCCCCCACTGGAGAGCCTGCTGTGTTGTGGGGCTACAGGCTGCCATTTCTCTGTTGCCCTGCTCCTCTTCGGTGTCCTTTTCAGCCTAGAATGTCCTCTTCTCCTGTACCCCAACCCTCCTGTCCACACCCAGACTCTGAACCTCAACCCCTGTCTTTCCCAGGACTCACCCCAAGACTCAAGACTAAACACCCCTCATTTTGGTCTCTACTGTAAATGTCCAGGCTTCCTCCACACGTCCTGTTCCCCAACAAGGACGCTTGAGCCCTTTGTGGCCAGGTCTCTAGCAATCCTTCAAACGAAGCCCAGGAAGTAAGTTTACTGTGGATTAGAACCCACTGGAGAAGAAACAGAGGGCAGCCTCGTTCTGGAAGAGGACGCCCAGCACCTGATGAGGACCCTCCGTGTGTTTTCATTCGTGCTTCTGCCGTTTGAGCCCTGTGGCCACCCTGTGACACAGAGATTATTGCTGGCCCATTTTACACATAGGAAGACCGAGGGAGTCAGAGAGGCAGCATGCTTTGCCCAGGGTGGCCCAGGTGTTGTGGAGCCTGAGTGGAATCTGTGGCCTTAGGGACACAGTCTCACCTCAGGGCTTATCAGGGTAAGGACTGGTCACTGTATAAAAGGATCTGGTTTTTACTCTGTTCCATGGTGCTGTGTGGCCAGAGGCTGGCTGGTCACACCACTTATTTGAGCATCTGTTTCAGCATTGGGAGAGCAAAAGATAAGATTATTTCTTGAAGGGTCCTCTTGACATTTACCCTGTCTATTTAAAAGAAGCAATCTCTTATACCAGTAGCCTGGCCACACTATAGCTGCCCAGTAAATAGTTAAAGGATGCAAGCAGGATGCAAGTGTCAACTCTGACTTAGGAGCTGGCTGCTACAAGGTTGCTGCTAAGGTCTCCCTGAATGCCAGCTGTCTGGGACTCTAACTACCGTTCAGTTTTCCCCTCCATCTGGCAGGGGTTGAAGACTGGACCACTCCCAAACTAGTCAATATCTGAAAGGCAAACACATTTGCTGGGCACAGACTGATCAGGGCAGGGGCTCCAGGTACCCAGTCTCGCTTCAGCCTCACAGGTAGGGAAACAGAGGCTGGGGAAATAGACACTTAGAGGGAGTGAGAATTTACTTTCCTTATATCCTGGGTTGCTGGCTTGGAGCAGCAGGCTAAGGGGCAGCTACTGTCTGATGCCCAGCTCCCAAGAAACTGGCTCCTCCCTCCAGTGAGATGCTACCCCTCACAGTGATGGGTGGGGCTTTCAGGATTCAGGCCTTCCCAGGCTTGCTCTAGCTCTGAGCTTCTTACTCAGTTACTTCCTGGTCGTCCTTTTACTTTGTATTGTCTCTTTGATTTCTCAAATCGCCACATTCTGCCCAGTTGTCCTCTTGGCCCATGTATCACATCCCCAAGGAACTTTCTTTAAGACTCACAGGCCTTGTTCTCTTCTGATTTTGCTTATAAATACTTCCTGGCTCCCATAAGTTCCTGATTTCAACTCATTCATTCATTCATTCATCCATCCATCCATCCATTCATTCATTCATCCATCCATCAGTTTCTCTACTCCTCCAGGTATTAGGCAAGACCCCATCAGGAATGCAGTCTCTCTGGAGGTTAACCTGATCTCTCTCCTGTTTCACAAGCACTTACTGTGGGCAGAGTTAGGCTTCACATCTCTTCCAAGTCCCCTGTTGTACCTGAGGCAGGAACTGCTCAGGAAACAAAGTGGAAGAATTCCTTAGTCTTTTGAGGGCATCTTGCACATTGCTCCAAACCTGGTCCATGTCTGGTGCTCCTGAAGCTCACTCACACCTGTCATCCCTTCTCCTTTGCTGTCAGCCACATCCCGCCTCGTGCATGTGATCAGATAACTTTCCAGAGAAGGGCCCTGCACGCAGATGGAGACCTTTTCTACCATGGGGCAGCCTAAGACCGGATCAAAGCCACAGCATCCCCTATGAGTCTGTGTGGCCTTGTCCCAAGCCAGTGTCAGTAGATGGGATCAGGTGACAGGACCCAGAAGACCACAATCTGTGGTGCTCATTTCTACGCGCCAGGGGTTTGAGGAGGCCAACATAGAAGCAGATGGAAGTGTCATTATTTTTAAAAACTGCTTAGTGGGCAGAAACCAGCTAGAAGTGGTGATGTTTGAGCAAAAGCTGAAACAAAACAGGAAGCCAGTGGCCTGGTGAATTCTCACACTTGAGGACCAGAAGTGAAATGTTCTGTCTGCCCAGAGGAGCAAGCAGCAAAACAACAAAACAGCAGTGGGACAGTGCTGGAGGCCAAGGCTGTAGTGGACCCTGCCTTCCCCACTCTGCCATCGCCTCTGGTCTCTGCCCTCCAGTCTCTTGCAGAGCCATGGGATTGGCTTCCCCTCCCCAAAGCCTTGGGTAGGATTTCTCATGCACAAACAGAGGACTTCTGGGAGAAAGGTGGGTGGGAAATGGAAGACGTTGCATATCTTCTGTTCTAAGCCCAGTCCTTCTCCTTATAGACTGTGGGCTGAGGCTCTAGGGGCTCCAGGGACCTTGTTTATGTAAGGTAGCCATTGGCCTTGAGAACTTTGAAGCTTCTTCCAGCTGTGAGGCTATTTCCTAGTGGGAAACTTCAGTTCCACCATGCTGGGGTGAGGATGGGGGAGAGACACATGGATGTGTGTGTGTGTGTGTGTGTGTGTGTGTGTGTACATGCATGCAGAATTGAGCTGGCCAGGAGGAGCATGTCTAGTTGCCTTCTGGTAGGTACCCAGTAAAAGTTTGCCCAAAGAATAGGCCAAATGCTGAATTTTTTAGGTCCCTTTGTCTTGTCTCCTGGGTGTTTTCTCCTGCCTTATGTCTTCTGTTTGCTCTGTGGTCCTAAGTCCTACAACACATAAGAACTGTGGGGTGAAGAGAGCAGGGAAGAGAATTATGGGATCATGTGACTAAGAGGAGAAGATGGCAAACCCGAAACCAAGCTTCCGCTCAGAGTTACCAATAGCTCCCTTGCTCTCCCTCCCTGCCTCCCTCCCTCCCTCCCTCCCTCTCTCCCCTGCTCTCTCCTAGGTTCAGGCTAATGTCTCCCAAGCACCTGCTTTGCTCAGTCTTCCATGACCATCATAATCATTTTGATGTTCTTGAATGGCTTTCACCTGCATTCAAATACTTCTCTGACATGAATGGAAAAGTTCTACTCATCGATGCATTCATTTAGTCACCAACAGTTTGTGAGTGCTCATTACTATGCACTACCATTGACTGGTTTAGAGGGCCCAGAGATCAATCAGGCGGAGTTCCTGCTGTCAGTGAGCTGGAATGAGTGCTGGCTAAAGGACCACCTGTGAAAGCAGTGTGCCCAGAGACCTCATGAAAAGTTAGCTTCAAGACTATCTCCATTTGACAGATCAGAAGACTGAGGCCCAGGCAGACTCATTTGCAAAGAACAGATCATGCCTAGAATCCGGAGAAGCGAGCTTTCCATTCCCTGGGATGACCTTGGGGCCTTTACAGCCTAATAACCTTGTGGTGGCAATTGGTTAGTCTTACTACTTGCTGTGGTAGCTGGTTAGTCTTAGTGGAGCTTGCTGTGGTAGCTGGTTAGCCTGGGTCACCATGTGCTTGCCCTGCCTCCCCATACTCCACCCTATACCAGGGTCTACAGCACTGGCTCTATTCCTATCTTGATTCTTTGCTAGCGTTGGATCCTGGGCTCAGATCTTCTAATGCCTGTCACAGACTCCATGCCTGAGCCTTCCTACCCCCATTTAGCATAGTTAATATATCACACCCTTCACGTCTTTCCCGTGAGTCCTGCAGGAATGCACCTAGCACTTACAAGGTATTTCACACCGTTGCAGGTGCAGAGGGCACCAAGAGCGATACTTCACACTTCCCATTTCATTTTCATGGGTTTCCCGCATAGCGAAGTTACACATTGGAAGCACATGCAGGGTCTGAGTGGCCTCGGGGGCAGGTGGCTATGAGGGCTGGAGGGGAGGATGTGCAAGGAAAGAGATGAGAAGGGACAGGAGCCAGGAGGGCGGTTTTGAAGAACCTTCTGAGCAGAGGCTTGGAGTGTTGTCTTACAAGTTGTCCAGTAGAATTCAAAGCTCAAATTTGCATTCTCAGCCTCTCAGCTCAGTCAAGAGTAGGGAAGATTATTTAGTGGCAAGGGATGCTGCAGGCAAAAAAAATTGACCAGGAGGCTGTGGCAAATGGCCCCAGAGAGGGATGAAGACTCCAAATGGAAGAAGCAGGATAGGATAGCTGCAAGACCACCAAAGAGGTGAGGCTGAGGGACCATCTAATGATCACTTTATCCATTAGGCAAGATCTGCATGATCCCCATTGCTGTGTGAGTGGGGTTGCTATTAGCCACTATGAGAAACAGTAGAGACAATCAGAGTTAAGAAGACAATGGTCGCTCCAATATGGAGACATAAAGTGGCAAACCACATCACCCCTCTAAAGGCATTGGAGAAACCAGTCCACACTGGTTGGACACTGGGGAAGCAGGAGTTTTGGGGGCCCCCATGAGTGCATTTTTGGGGGAGTTGGGACAGGAGCTAAGGATGGGAGCTGTGGTGTTGAGGAGTGGTTAAGTTCTGGCAGAAAGCCCACACTTATTATGTATAGAGTGTAGTCCGTGAGTGAGTGGGGCTTCTCTTCTAAAGATTGATTATGAAGGGAAGGAGGAAGACAGTACTATGTCTACACTCCCCTGCTCATGCCTACTCCAGAGCCCCCAAGATGCTGCAGGTAGGATAACACTTGGCTGTTCCATCAACCCCCCCCCCCCGTTATGGACTGTGGCTGTCTGAAGATCCCTGAGGCCCCTGGCTGGGGTCGGCAGTGCCCATGTCAAGCTCTGGCATGGTTCTGAATGGATGCCTGCTCTTCCTAGAGATAGTGAGTCAGGTGGATATCCCGAGTTTATGGCTGTAGATGGTCAGGAATCCTCTTCAGACCTGTCTTCTCATCTCTATGTCACAATGACAAGTCCACCCACGACACAAGTCTCACAGAGAACACAGAGCACTTGCCTCAACATTCCCAGTGCTGAGTCCTAACCCAGTGCCAGGCCCATCCTTAAATATCTTTCCTCTGCAAGAAATACCACTATTGAGCCAAAGCTAGGCATCTCTCAGGTTCCTAATACCTCCGCCCAGCTACACCATGTTTTCCCTTACATACCCATATTGTGCACTGTTCTCCATCAGTTTCAAGTGGAGTTACCATTTGACTCTTTCTTTGCAACCTGTTGTCCTGTCTTGCTTTCTTTAAAGTCATTTGAATTTGTTCCTTCTTCTCTATTCCCATTGCCCTTGCTCAATATATATGTATAAGCATCTCTATGGACTGAATGTGGGTGTCCCCTCACTCCTCAATGTTGACAACCTAACCCCCAATGAAATGGTGGGGCCTTTTGGAGGCTACTGGATGAGATCATGGGGATGGAGCCTAATGATGGGATTAGTGTCTTCATAAGAGGAAGAGACAAACGATATCTTCCCATCATGGGTGGTATAGCTCCAAATTACCTGCAGACAAGGAAAGGGCCCCTAGTGGGAGCTGGATGAGCTAGAACTGTGACCCTCCAGTCCCCAGCCACTGGCATGCATCTGGCTAAAGACCTGCTCCCTGTATGTGTCCTCTCCTATTGCCAGAGCCAACGCAGCTTCCTGTCCTGCTTCTCTGCTAGGGCAGGATGCTAGCTCCTTTCATGGCACATGTCTCAGATGGCGACACTTGTTAGTACTAAATGGCTTGGTGTCCGCCTTTATAACCAGATACTCTGCTCCATGAAGCCAAGGCTGAAGATCACACCTGGCATGTGGCATGTGGTAGGTAATTGCTGAAGGAGTGATGTGCTGAGCTGGTGTGATAAGCCAGCCAAAACTAAATGGCTGGCTTTCAATAAAGGTCCCCCTGTTTTCTGCTCAGCTCGAATGAAGTACGCTTTGGCCAGAGTCACCTTTTTTAAAAATTTAAGTTAGAAACAAGCTTGTTTCACATGTCAATCCCAGCTCCCTCTCCCTCCCCTCCTCCCCATCCCTCCCCACCAGGCCCTCCATCCCCCCCACCCAATCTCCACTCCAATCCCCAGGGAGGGTGAGGTCCTCAGAGTCACCTTTTACATACATGACTTTCATCCTACCCAGTCCTTCCTCACCAGTGTTTACAGGGTCCCAGCACCCTGTTTGGAGACTTATGGGAAACCCAGTGAAGTTCAGATCACTCCAGCAGTGAGAGGCACCATGGACCTTCTCATTAATAGCAATTCACTTAATTGTAAGTTGTGGGTTGGTTTCAAAAGAAACCCTCAAACTCATGAGCAGTGCAGGAAATGAGTGAGTCAGGCTTCTCAGTATCTGGTGTCCTATCGATGGGGGTGATAGCATCAGTACCCGGCTGCCTGGACATGCCTCTCAAGGTTTCTGAGTGGCCCCAGGCGGGCAACAGCCCAAGCTCCCTTCTTTTCCTTCACACAGGGACTCTTGAGAATTTTCACCCTGTGATGCAGGTGTTGTGTGAGCTCTGTGGGTGGTATCCAGCCTCTGAGTGTTCTGTAGGCTCGGTATGTGTGACCTGAACTCTCAGAGGGCTGAAAGTGTTGCCCCTGTGTGTATGGGGGGAGGATAGAGGCATTTGTGTGTGTGTGGGGGCAAGGCAATTTCTCGACTATAGTTGTTTACAAATTTGGGAAAACACAGTTGACAGAATTTCCTCCTCTGTCAGTGTGAGCCCATTTCCCCTCTTGCTTTGCTAAGAGGAAGTTCCGTTAGCTCACAGAAACCCAGAACCACACGTTCCTCAGCCTGGAAAAGCCCTTGAAGGAGGTGCTCAGCTGAAGACCAACTCGGCCTTCTGTTGGGGACTTTAATCTGAATTCCAGAGAAGCCTGAATGAAGTATCGTATCAGCTGCGGCTTAGAAGAGTCCTCTAGGCTCCCCACGAGTGATCTTCATTGAGGAAGCAATGGACTCTCCCTCCTTCTGTCGACAGGTCTAGGCCTGCGGCACTCACAGCCCATCTCCCTCCATTCTGTCCTGCAGGCCTGCTTCTCATTTTCTCTCCCAACCCAACTGAGCCTCCTGCTTTCAACAATGATAATTTCTCTTCTCTTTTATTCATCCGTTGCTCAGCCTCCATCCCACCTGCCTCAGGGGCTTTTTCCATGGGGAAGAAGCGATCCCCAACACCGTTTCCAAGAAAGAATGGTCATTGCACTTCTGTTTTCAGACCCAGCCAGAAGGTCCCCAGGGTGGAAGTATGCCCATGTCGCACGCACACAGTAGTGCTGTTCAAGTTCTCTGCAGGGGAGGGGACTGGTGCCTCTCCAGAAGGCCTCCTTTCTCTGAGTGAATGGGGAGGACACATAGGAGATGGGGGAGGAGGACAAGGAGTCCCGATGATCTCCTCAGACACACAGATACCTACGACTCAGGGCCAGGCCCTACATTTGCTGCACCCACACGGCTGAGTTCAGGGAGATGTGTCAACCCACACACTGACTTGTGGAAAACGACATTAGAACAGAACTCGGGAGACTCCCAGCCTATGGGAACCACCCAGGCGTATCTTCAGGGTAAGGTGAGCAGGTAGAGTCTGCAGGTCTGGCTCACTTATTTCCTGGGAGGACCTTGTGAGTTCCATACTGTCATAACTCACATCTCAAACATTGGGGCACACCTTCTACCATTTAGTCTTCTGAAAGAACACCCCAGGCACCTCTCTTTCATTTTTACCTGTTTCTAAGAAAAACAGTCAATTTCCTTTCCCGGCCCTAATGGCCCTTGACAGCTGTTTACACATGGAATGCCAGATGTGGGGCACCACCATCAGCTCTTTTCACCCGTAATTTCATTTCAACCTCATGACATCACCATGACAACTGTCACTTTCATGTCACCTTTGGGGAATCAGAAACTGAGAGAATATGTGCCTTTCCCAAAGTCACAGTTAATGTTGAAGCTGGGTCTGTCTGTGTGGGCCCAAGCCCTCAGACGTATTTCCTTAAAGCACGTCTCACTTATAACCATCACTCATTATCCACGGTTACCATGAGAAATCTGATTGCTTTCACAAAATACCTATTTATTGGAATGAAAACACACACCACGCACTCGCCATCTGGGGCCCATCCATGTCATCTTCTCAGGGGGACTCCACATTCCTATGGATTGGGCATATCGGGAACTTTTCAAGTTTTACATACAGACAGGAAAACTGAGGCTCAAAGAGGAAATGTGACTTGCCCAAGGTCACACAGCTAGAAACAGTGCAGTCAAAACTAGACCTCCTGAGAGACCCCAAGCCCTGCGCCTGTGCTATGCTGCCTCTTCAATAAATAAGTGGACAAAATAAATAAATAAAGGTTTCAAGGAAACCCCAAGGAGTCCTCCCAACTTCAGAAGGAGCTCTGGTACCAGACTGGCATCATGACCTTCTTGGCAGGGTGGCAAGCTCATGGCTGGCTCTCCCATGGCTGTCTCCCAAACAGTCACACAGTCTGTTTTTTGAAAGCTTCGGAGAAACTTTCAGGGGATGGGCACTGTGAGGGTGTCAGCAGCCATGTGGTTTCTCCCAAACTGCCTTTGCTTGAAGACAGGTCTCAAATGCAGTGTAGGGAAGCAGGGACCAGTCCTGAGCCCCAGTGACTAGCAGCTATCTTGGCACAAGGCCATAGGCTCCTGCAAGATCTCTGAGACCTTGGCATGAAGCAGAAGCTACCTATGGCAAATGGGTTCCACAGTCTTCTTCCTTCCAGCCCAGAGGTTGGCAAGACCAAAAATATCACCCCTGGGGCCAACTTGGCTGACATCCAGCATGAGGGACTTCCTAACAATTCATTTTTTATTTTAGTCCCCCGAAGAAGCTGCGAGTCCAAGGTCACACAGCTGAACACAGAGATACCAGTCAGGTACCCTGTTCTCTGCATCTGTAATTAGAAATTAGCAGCAAATGCAGATATATAAGTACTAGGGCTGGGCCAGCATCTATTCCCAAAGGCCACCTAAAGGGTAGTGTGCTAACACAGACAATCATAATTTGTCTGAGCAGTTAGCACAATGATGAGCAGCAAGGAGCAATGGCTTGGCCACTGCAGATAACCCAGGGGAACACAGGCGTGTTTGTCAAAAAGAGAAGGATGTCTGCAGATGGATACCCACAGGAGGTATAGATTCTGTGCCTCAGTCCCTTTTGCTCCATGGTTCTAAACCAGCTGGCTGATCATTTAGGGTGGCATGTACCTCAAGATCTCCCCGTGACAAGTGCCCTGTCCAGTGCCTCTCTACATGACAACATTAAGCCTGGCTCCTGCTCCCTCCTTTCTCTCTTGGGCCCTCTCTGTACCCTGCAGGAGACTAGCCACTCCCACTCCTACACAGACATCCAGGCTGTTCTGACTTCAACCTGGCAATCTTACCACACCCAGAAAACCCTGGGTTCCTCCCAGACACAGGTCCTTCCAGTACAGGACCCATCCCTGAGGAGTGAGGAGATCTCTGTGCACCCTGCTCAACTCTGCTGGAGTCTGCAGGGCTCCTCCCAACAGAACCAGACCCAAACTCCCATGTACCAGACACTTGCCCAGCAAGATGGCCTTTTCCTGCCTTCTGGGACCTGGCTAGCTGGCCACGGTGGATCTGCAGAAAAGATCCACATATTTCTTTGACTCCTGGGCCCTCCTGGTGCAGGCAGGAGAGCAGGAATGGCTGGAATACAAAGAACCCTTAGCCTCTGTCATTCCTCTACCTGCAGGCTGGAGATTAGTGGCAGGGTGGCCAGGTTAGAGTCAAAGCTAGCCAGGAGGCCACCAGGGGCTGCCCCATAGTCCAGAGGAGCAAGCTCCTGGGTCAAATTCCAACCCTCTGTGCTTAGGTCTTCACAGCTAACCACACCCAGGAGTGACCATTCTTCAGCCAGCTGACTCCATTGCGTACTTGGGGCCCCTGCTGGTGCCGGAGTCATCCCTTGGGACTCCTGTTTCAGGTAACCTTTGGCCAGAGCTGGTGGAGGCCAACCTAACTCAGCCTGCAGGCACACCCCGAGTTTAGGGTCAAAGCCATTTGTCAAGGGAATCTCTTTGTCCAAGGGTCCTGCTGGGTTTGCTGAATCTTCCTTCCATCTGGTCTGTTTCTGGTAGCCCTGGGTTGTCACTATGACTTGGTCTTTCTCCTCAGGGACTCCAGGTTCTAGGAGACAGACATGGCCCAAGGCAGAGCCACACTGTGTGTTCTCGGGTTGCCACGGAGAGCTCTGGACTAAGTTAATGTCACTGTCATCCTGGCCCTGACTGGCGTATCCAAACTGCTGCTTCCAGGCCGGCCACATGCTGGAGTGTAAGCTGGGTTCCTGCAGGCAGATCCCGCTGTCCGTGTTGTCACCACAGCTGGGCTCCAGCTCTGGAGGCTCTTTCTTTCCCAGAGACCCTTGATTCTGGGGGTGGGAGCCAGGGAGAAGAAACTGGGACTCCTCAGTCTGCAGCGATGACTTGGCACTGCCAAAGCCACTGTCAGTGCTTCCATGCAGGTCCGAGTCTCTCAGCTCTGGTGACACCTTCCGGAAGGCCTCCAGGTCCAGGGTGTGAACAGTGCTGAGAGTTTCCGGGCAGACAGGGTTGACGGGGAAGAAGTTGTGGGGCTTCTCAAAGACCTGGGAGGAGAGGCAGGGTGAGTGTGATTATTGCCATGCCCAATGTGACTGTGCTGAGAACCACCGTGGGGTTCCATAAAGTCTGTCTATAAGGGTGTTTTGCGAAAGGTTAAGCTGAGCTTGGAAGACTTACCCTGAATACGACACTATCCCGGGGGCTGGAGTCCTGGGATGAATAAAGACGAGAATGTGAGCTGGGCACCAGCTTTCACCTCTCTGCGTCCTGACTGTCGGGACTCGACCAGCTGCCTCACACTCTTTCCCCCCGACGGTGCCCCTGCACCCTCAAACCATGAGCCAAAACAAACCCTTCCTTCCTAAGTTGCTTTTGCCGGGCACAGGTTTTTGTCACAGCAATGAGACTAATACGGTGAGAGAGCTGTGGCCGCGTGCAAGGACCCTCCTTGGGGGCCAGGTGAGGCACCGTGGGGGAGGCGTAGAGTGGATGTGGAGCCTGGTGGCCCCCAGCTTCGCACTGGCATTAGAATTTTCTCCCAAGGGTACTTCATGGTTTGGCCCAGGCAGGTACATAGGAGGCTAGTGTCCCCAAGGCCAGATTTCATGGGGCCTCGATGAGACTGAAGAAAGCTCTCAGCTGCTCGACCCATGAAGCTCTGTGACCTGGATGAGGCTTGAAAAGCCAGGCCCATGCTGAAGTGTATTTCAAGCTACCTTGACAATGGCCCCAAGTAAGAAATAGACACTAAGTAAGCACCTGTGCGTGTAGCTCATGGAAGTCACAGAAGCTAGTCACAGGGAATAAGTATCTATGTGCCACAGTGTGTTCTCATTTTATCCCACCCCACCCCACCCTCCCATCTTTCTATCCTGCCATCCTTTGAATTCTGAGCTTGCAGCCAAGGGCTTGTACTCCTCAGTTGCTAAGGGTCGTGGGGAAGTCACTTAACACTTTTCAGCTTGTTCCTCTGCTCTGTCTACAGTGGTGTCCTTGCTGCCCTGAAGGTGGCGAGAGCAGCCCTGTCACAGGACCTTTGCACATGACGACCACTCTGCAAGGAATACTCTTAGCGCCCCATGTGTCTGCATCCTCCTCCTTGTTCAGCTCAGACGCCACCTCTTCCAAGAGACTTTGCAAGCACCCAGGCCAAATCAATGCTGCAGCCGTTTCCCCCTCCTTTCCTTCCTTCCTTCCTTCTTCCTAAACTTCCTATATGTGCTGGCTGGCCTTTCGTCAGCTTGACACACAAACTACAGTTATGTAAAAGGAGGGAGCCCTAATTGAGAAAATGCCTCCACAAGATCAGGCTGTAAGGTATTTTCTTCACAAGTTACTGATGGGGGAGGGCTCAGTCCACTGTGGGTGGCACCATCCCTGGGCTGCTGGTCCTGGGTACTATAAGAAAGCAGGCTGAGCAAGCCGTGGGGAGCAATCCAGCAAGCTGTGTTTCTGCATCCTGCCTCCAGGATCCTGCCCTGTTTGAGTCCTGTCCTGATTTCCTTTGATGGTGAACAGCAATATGGAAGTATAGACCAAATGAACCTTTCCTTCCCAACTTGCTTTTTGGTCATGGCGTTTCACTGCAGCAGCAGAAACTCTACTTAAGACACTCTAATAGGAACTCAAGAGGCAGTAACTATCCAGTCTTACTCCTCACTCTGAGCCTAAGCTGAGCTGGAACTAGTCAGGTTTGTTGACTGACAGACTGAGTCTGCTACACCCCTGCCCTTGTTTCCTTGACACTTAATGACTTCAGTGCAATTCCTCCTGGATGTGTCCCTATTACTATGCCCACTGTGGCTAACTGGGTCCATAGTGGCCACAGTGATTAGTGGTGAAGGATGTATCTTTTAGCAGCTTGCCACTGAGCCAATACCCTTTTTCTAAGCTTTAGTTTCTCATCCGTATATGGAATTAATTGCAGCATGTGCCTCCTCGTGGTGAAGCATGTACAGTGCTTGGACCATTCAGGTTACATAGAAGACACTCAACAAATACATGCTGAGTGGAATTGTACTCCCTGGCAGTTCTATAGAGGAGTATCATTACCCCTGTGTTCTAGAGAGACTCAGCTCAGAGGCATTAGATGATGTGCCTGGAGTCACCAGCAACAAAGGACAAACCTGGAGTTATGCCCAGCTATCTGGATTCGAGATCCCCAGCTTGCTTAATGACCTGGTGGATGCTCAGTTCAAATCAGCAGATGGTTCAGAGTAAATTCCGGAATGTGCCAGGACTCTCTCACACAAGTTACCCCCACAGACGGGGGCAGCTGTTCAGTGGAACTGGGCTGTTTAAATCCTAGGAGAAAAGCTCTGAAGGGAACAGCAAAACTGTGACTCACAGGCTCATAAGGAATCGACAAGCAGCCGCCTGTCATTTCCAGGCATTTGGTAATCTCCAATCTCTGCCTATTTCATGGCTTTACATTAAAATTAGCCTTTCACACCTGGCTGGCACTGGCTGGCATCAAGTCCAGGGAACCCCTCAAGGTCACATTAGTCAGTTTCCTCCCTGACAGCACTTGCCCCCAGAGAGGATGCTCTGTAGATAGCTCAAACACCACTTCACTCATTCCTGAGCCTGTCCAGGCACAGGGCTACCCTCTCCCACTTCCTGGATCACACTCTCCCCAGCGCCAGGATCAGTCATAGGGTTTATTCATCCCTGGGCCACCAGCACCCGGACTCCTGGCCCTGCACAGAGTATGAGCTAAAGTGCCTGTGGGACAGGCTGAGGGACATGTGTCAGGGGTACTGGATCTCCCAGGAACACAAAGGAAGACGATGAGGACAAACTGAAGCTCTACAGGAAGAACTAGTAAATCCTTAGTGCTGTAAGGGCTGGCTCCCCCATCTCCTCCTTATAGCTCTTTATCAGTTGTCATTGACCTGAGAACAGACTCTTGCCTAGACAAAGGCTCTGGTTAGGGCAGGTCATCCCATCCTTACACACACATACATCCCTCTTCTCTTCTCTTCTCTTCTCTTCTCTTCTCTTCTCTTCTCTTCTCTTCTCTTCTCTTCTCTTCTCTTCTCTTCTCTCTCTCTCTCTCTCTCTCTCTCTCTCTCTCTCTCTCTCTCTCTCTCTCTCTCTCTCCTTCTCCCTCCCTCTCTCTCTCTGTGTACATGTGTGTATGTGTGCATCTCCCTATCTTTCTGAGCGACTCCAGGACTCCTCTATAGGTTATATATGGTCTGTACCCATCTATCATACATTAATAGTGTAGATATTATCCAGGGTCCAGGGACTGTGACTAACCACTTCTGACACAGCCTGAGACCAGGCTAGGGACAAGTAGGGATTTGAGGACTACTACTCAGTCTTGTAGGATGGCTTCGGGATGCTGATTTGCCACACATACCGCCATCTGAGAGGGGAAAGAGGTCTTGGCTTCCCCTCAAGCCCTTTCCTCTCTGAGTCAGCTCTCCACTCTGCTCCCTCCCACCCTGGAACTGCTCTAGGCCTCCTTTCTGTCCCTCAGCAGCACCAGGATAGGATGATGCAAAACTTCCCCTACACTTCCTCCCAACTACGTGACCCTATCTGCCCTCACTGGTAAAATGAGGGTAATAACCAGGACCAGTCCATGATACACAGTGGCAGCTCCACAGGTCATTGTGTAGATGACAAAACTGTGCTGACTCTGTGTGTGCACACCTGCGTGCACATGAGGTCTCTGCGCTACTCAGGGGCACTGTTCTCCACGCTGGGTTTAGTGCTTGCTTGCCCTCCACAGTGCTGAATGAGGGGGTCTGGACCATGCAGGAACATAAGAAGCACAGAGCACTCACCAGGACTGCAGGCAGCTTCCCCGGGCGCCGGATGTGGTGCTGGAGAGCCAGGCAGACCAGGGCTCCGCAGAGAATCAGGATAGAAGTGAAGAGAATGCTGAGGTTGGTCAAGGTGATATCTGCAGACCCAGAAAGACGTGTTTGTGGCATATAAGGTACAGTCCCCAGAGATCCCTTAGCTATGGTTAGAATATACTCAGTGATCATCACCACGGGCAATTGGTGGGTCACAGCCCTAGAGGTATCTAGGTTCCTAGAAAGGATGGTTCAGTTATCACCAGATCCTTCAGTAACACATTGGCTCTGCCTCTAGCCAGTTAGCATGGTGGCCAAGGAAGCACTGAGGCAGGGTGAAGCAGTAGGCAAGAGTGGAGACTGAGGCAGCTGTGCCTGGATTCAGAATCCCAGCTGCGGACAAAACAATGAATCCATCCGAGTTCCACAGTCCATGCATACAGCAGGGAAAGCTACAGAACCACCTCAAGATGGTTGTCAAACATCTCACCTGTGTTGCCTGACCCTAGCAGCCATTTTAGGAGGTCAACACCAGCATCATCCCATTTTGCATATTGAGATCCCGAGGCCCCGACCACGGTCACATGGAAGCAACAAAGCTGAGATTCAAACAAACCTTTTTCACATAAGGATGATGAAAATACCAGCAGCACTTAAAGCCAGGCCATTTACTAGGTGACTTATTCTGTGGTGGGACTTTCATGACAGTGGGCTGCACTGAAATTTCTTACAAATCCATGAAAAATCCCTTTCATGTTTGCTGGATGGGACGCTGCCAGGGCGTACACCGGGTACAGTGTGAACGCTTTAATTAACTGCATGCCTTGCTAGGTATGGGTCCCTCTGGGCAGTCAGCAGACTGAAAGGCTCCCAAGGGTGAGACGCAGCTTCTACACTTGATAACCCATCCTGGGAAAGAGCCCCGGGCACTGGTTGAGGGCCTGGAACAGGTTTCTGCTGAGTGCAGCAGCTATGTCAAGAAGCGAGCTCAGCATTGCTTCTTCTGGGACATTCAGAGCAGGGAGGAGCCCTTCCCACAAGGGCCTGAGGAGGAATAGCTTGAACAGGACCAAATAGGAACTAGTGCACCTACTAGAGGGGAACTGGAGAGAGGTCCCGGAAAGCCCAGCTGTGCTCAGGTGGGAGGCCCCCAGTGTCACCTCCTGGCAGGAATGAACAGACTCTCAAACACTCCCCCTGGCCTTTTTTTTTTTTATATATATAGCTATCTGAGTGTAGAAACAGCAGGCTTTCCCTAGGAGTCTTGTATTGGGAGAAGAAGACCGGAGTCTGGTACCAGTCAAGGGGAGCTTGTCTCCTGGAGATTTCACACAGGTCTGACAACGACCAACAGGAGAGACTGAGGCTGACATGATGGCGGCTCGGGCCATGATGGGTGGGGCCACACTCCCTGACCTGCTTAGTTCTGCATTCCCCGCCACAGTACTCTGTTTAAACCTAAGCATCATGTTAATGTTCCTGCCCTTAGTACCCCGGAAAATCAGTTTTCAGGGTCACCAGTCCTGTTTGTTTCTCGTCCCCATTGGATGAATTTCCCTTTTTTGCCTTCTACTCCGAGTCTTTGATTAAACTACTGAGGACGAGTGGCTGATCCCATTGGGACGCTGTCGGGCCAGGCACTGCTGGCACATTTTGGATGCCAGCACACCCAGAAAGTTATTATGGGCAGAAAGAAAAGATTGAATAATCCCTCAATTATGCTATTCTGGAGTTTTTTTTAATTGTCCCACTTCAGTCATGATCATCTGTTTCTTAGTCTGGACCTTGGTTTGGATTCTTAATAAAGTTTAGACCCTTGGTAAATTTCTCCTGCATTGATGAAACTTGGGCTTTGATTATGGACTAAGGGGTCCTTTGAGAGCTCTGTGTATGTGTGTATGTATGTGTGTGTTTGTGTATAGTATGGTGTTATGGTGTTTCGTGTTTGTGTTGTATGTGCACATGTGTGTGGGATGCATGTGCAGGCCAAAGGTCACCATTAGTGTCTCTCCTTTGGCCATGCCTGTGCTCCATTTTCTTTCTTTTGGGTGTGGGTGGGACAGGGTCTCATTTTGTGACACTGCTAGCCTGGAACTCATTGTGTAACCCAGGTTGTCCTGGAACACACAGAGATCCACCCGCTTTTGCCTTCTGAGGATTAAAGGTGTGCATTATAGTGCCTTGTTTCCCACCTTATTTTCCGGGTCTTTCACTGAACTGCGAACTCACTGATTTGACTTGGCTGGTCAGCGAGACACAGTCTGCCTATTTCTGGGCCCTCTCCTGAGGGGGGTGGGCGGTTGGGGTTAGAGAAATATACACCATGCCCGGCTTTTCCATGGGTTTTGGGGATTTGAACTCATCTCCTCATGCTTGTGGGGTGGGTACTGTATGGACTGAGCCATCCTCCTATCTCCTTGAAGCCCTTTGGATTTGTGAATCATTGTTGGTGATTGATGTGTAGTGACTGGCTTTGTGTTTTGGAATTCTTTCAAATTGTTACAGTTCTGCTGAACTATTTTGGGCTTCATGCCATTTGTACAACAAATATTAAACTATTTAGATAGCAGAAGCTGTCAGGACTTGGCTGAGCCATTGGGGTTCTCTTTTGAGCATTCTGGGATGTCATTGTAAATGGCATAACCATAAAGTATTAAGGTTTTATTATTCTGTTATCTCCTATGATAATTACTTAAAAAAAGAAAACCAGGATGACTCTAAGCAGGATGTGCAACTTCTCCCATGGGTTGTGTGAATAATGGTAGCTCTATGCAGAATCTCTGAGCCTAGTATGGGCACCAGCAACCCTGAGCGTGGCTGTCTGTGTTCTGGACAGTCTAGCACCCTTTGTCTGCTGTCTGGACCACTCACATTGCTCTGTGATTCGCAAACACTGCTCCTCTGACCATTCTCCTCTGTTATTTCGGGTTTCCACCAAGGGATACACCTTGATACAAAACTCTCCCATCTCTCTGGGGACTTTGAGGGTGAAGTTCTCATGTTTCACTGTCATGGTTGTATTCTGAAACGGAAGCAAGAACAATAGTGAACAATCCTTTTATGCATGGTACCCAGAAGCTGATAGTGGGAGGGGCCCAGTTTTGGTTTTCTGCTGGAGATGAGCTCAGGGCTTTGAGATACAAGGAAGGGCTGCTGCTACGTGAATCAGCCCTGGGGGAGTGGGTGCTCTGGTGAATACTCTGCTGAGCAAATCTCTCTCTGTCTCTGTATCTCTCTCTGTCTCTCTGTGTGTGTGTGTGTCTGATGTGTACTGCATACACATGGATGTGTGCATTTGTGTCTGTGTGAGTGCAGTGTGTATGCCAAAGCACATGTGTGGAAGACAGAGAACAATCAGATATCACTTTGTTTGAGGCAAGGTCTCTTTGTTGCTTGACACTGGGTACGCCAGCCTAGCTGGTCTAAAACTCCCTCAGAGTCTTCTATTTCCAGCTTCCATCTTACTGTAGGAGCAATGGATTACAAACATATGCTACTGAGTCTAGCTTTATGTGGATTGTGGGGATTTGAACTCAGATCCTCATGCTTGTACACAGAAAGGTCATTAACTACCCAGCTATCTCTGCAGCCCACTACTTTTATAGAAGTGGAAGCTCGTCACAGAAAGAGCTAGAAACAACTGAGGCAGGGGCATCTGATGGATTCTAGACTGCAAGGGTTGGGCTCCAGTACATCTTGCAGCTTCGTTTCCTTATCTACAGGCTGGAAGAAAATACTCAAGAGTAGCTGACGCTTGCCTTGTGCACGGCTGGTGGTAGGTCTGAATATGTCAGTTCCTTCCTGGCTCCCCATAACCTTTCTTCCTGTGTGTGCCAAGCTCTCCAGTGCCAGTGATTCCAATCTAAGTAGCTCTGGCCTGGTAGCCTTGGGGAACCTCATACCTTTTCCTCCTGAAACTTTCGGATGGAAATCTTATATTTGCGGAAATTACTGAAGATCTGTTCATACTCGTCACCCGCAGGGACTATCTTGGGTCTGGGGAGATGGATTGTCCCAAAGACGTAGCCGTTGATCACCTCCAGTGTCACACTGCCAACCGTCAGAATCACTGAGAGGAGAGGGGCAGAGGCGTGAGGCTGAGGACCAGGGATGGCATCCGTAGCCTGACTCCAGGGTCAGACTTCAACCACTCTAAAACCTAGGCCTCAGGTTTACAACTCTACCCCACACAAGAACTTCTCAGGGAATGTGTTACAGATATTATGGGTTTCCTAGCATCTGGGGAATCTGAATTTCTCAGTCTGGGCCCTGGAAATACCAGTTTTAAAGCTGCTCCCTGGGATATGCTTTCTCCAGGCAGTGGAGGCCTAGCATATAAGCTTGCGTTTGAGAACCAGTGACCTTCCTAGTGTTACCTCTAGCTCTGAATCCTACAGAACAAGCCCACTTTGTACCCAGACCCTGTGCAGGCGCAGGGTGAATAGAATCCCACCATGGCCAGGTCAACTCCCTGGGAATTGTCTGGTTTCATTTTTGTTCAGTGCATCTTCTAGCTTCAAAGGCAAGACCTGGGAGATCACCCCTATGAGGGGCTAGGCCTCATTTAAATTCTGCCTCTACCTGCTTAGGGTTCAGTGCCCCTCCCTAACCTCTACAAATTCATAGCAATGGCTCTTATGACATAGACATGACAGTCACCCCGAGACCTCTCTCATGGAGGATAAACAATGCCGGGTCCTTTTAAAATCCCAGACAGCTTCAAATCTATTGAGGTAAGTAGCTCCCTGGCCAGGAAGCCTGGTGATGTGAAAAGCTGTGAGAATAGACAGAAAAACCCTAGGCTGGGGTTCCTGACTAGAAGGGTCCCAGAAGGCCATATTCTAGGTCTAGGAGAGGCAAAGCACCTTCATCCACTGTGAAACGGGTCTCAGTGTCAGTCCAGTTGGAGTACTGGTTGTGGTCTACTGCCCGTACTCTGGCCCGATAGCCACGACTGCGGTATAGATCCAGGGTCGAATTGGTGACATCACAGGACAATGCCTGGACCTTTCTACAGTTGCGGACGTTTTGCCAGTCTGTGGTTCCGTACCTGAGGAGATACCAGGGCAGGCACTGGAGAAGCAGCTTGTACCCAAACCTCTCTCCTTTAAGAGGAAAGGAAAAGGCCAGGGTAGAACATTCCCATGATGGCAGAAAAGGAGCATCCTTCAGGGTCCTAGTCCCAAGCAACTAATCACAAGAATCTCCCTCTTCCTTGGCCAAGGTCCCTGTTAACATCTATGGTCTAGAAGGCTCCTGGGTGGGAATCTAAGTAGCTCACTACTTTACGAGAATGGCTTAATCTACTCCGGAGCCTCCGGCCTCCTTTCTTCTAGTTACGTTTGTGAATACTTTTCCAGAATTCTAGGAAGCCCTCAGAGCCAACAGCTGTCCACCTTAGGGATCCCAGCACACTGCTCAACTCACATGACTCTCAAGCAGGATCGCATGTGTCAAAGATACGGTCTCATTTCAATAGTAAAGCAGTCGCCTGGCCCCTCCCCCACCTCATTCTGGCCCCCTGCCACCCCCACCCATTCCTTGCTTTCCTTACTTCTTGAGTGCCACTTCGTAGTAGGTACTCTCAGACTGGTTTGGGATAGCTTTCCAGTGTAGGATGTGTTGGAAAAATCTGGCTTCAAACCACACAGCAAAAGGGCTTGGCAACTCTGTCCCTAGAGGGAAAAGAACATCAACATTGGAGAAAGCAAGTCATACCACGGGAATAGGAAGAGGGTGGTGACAACAGAAAGGGTTAAAATTCACACACTAGGTACTGTGTTCCCTTTAGCGATCACAGCGGCTCTGGGGTCTAGACATATGGAAAACTTACTAGAGAAGAAACAAAAGCCTACAGAGTCAAATGATTGCCCAAGGCCAGTGGAGTTAGTAAGGGGCACAGTGGGGACCTATATCCAGGATGGGTCTGATTCCAAAGGGAGTATCCTGTCCTTCTTCCCTACGCTGTGCAGGATCAGAAGCCTCGTGAGGGGGTGACAGGGGCAACTTGAGCCAGAAACATTCCAGGAAGATGGCCAGGAGTGAGGAGTATGTGTGTGAGCAGTGAGCTCTCAGATGAGCCGGCCCCAACACAACATTATCTGAAGAGCTCATCGCTGGAGCCTGGGACCAGCACTTGGCCAGCATGACGACCCTGGGCAAACCTCTGTCTTTTTTCGTAACAACACAATGAACATTCTTATGTGAATTCTGCTGACGAATTTTGCTGTTTGAATCCTGCAGCTTAAGAGTGTGCATGGCCAATAGCCCTTGTTCCTCTCCAGCTTCTTGACTCCTCAAGATGTCTTCTCTTGAAGGCATCTCCACCCACTTCCCTTCTTCTCAAAACCATCAGCTCACCAGTCATGTTTCTTTTTGAGTGACCCCGTCATTCTCAGAAACACACTTGTCTCTGCCCCCTTGGCTTTCTTCCATGTACTGTTTGGATCTCAAGACTGTGTTTCAGTTGCAAAACTCCGAGAGAGTGAGTGAAAAACTCAGCCCGTGTTTGTGGTGTTTGGGCCGGCTGCACATCCCCAGTGCAGCTGTAGATCACATGACTGGCCGTGTGGATTTTACTTCGAATTTTGGAGTCCTGTAGAAGTGTTTCGGGTCCCCAGTTTTCGTGCCTCTAAGCCACTTAGTCCGTCTCCCTCTCTCCCTCTCCATCTCTCCTGGGCTACTGGAACCTAGCCTGAGCTGAGGGTAGGTAAAGTGGGAGAGGGGGCAGGTGGCCGCTGGAATGAACTGGGGGCGGGAGGCTGGGGGAAGGGGAGGGATAGGAGTGAGATGGTAGGGTTCAGGGAGAGAAGCAAGACCCATGGAAAGAGTCAGAGCCCCAGAAAAGCAAGGGCTAAAGCTATGGTTTGCTGTGAGGTGGATGGGTGATGGGTTTGGGAACAAGGAAGAGTACGGGATGGGAACTATAGACCTGACACATCCTTCGATGGCCACTCCCGATCAGACACGATTAATCTTAGCTGTCTCCACTTACACAACAGGTGAGCCGGAGACCTAGTTTTGCCAGCGTGAAGGAGCAGGGGCTGGGAACCGCGGAGGTCCGGAGAGGGCCATCCAAGCCTATTCTCCACGAAGTATGAACTTTAAAGCAACCGAGCGAGCGCTGGGGAGCCTACCGTGTGCGCGGAAACCCTGACTCAGGCTGGCGAGCGCGGCAAGGAGCAGGAGCAAACGCGACAGCATCCTGGGCGCACAGCGGCATTGTCCGCCCCGCAAGAGCCGGCCTTTTCACCGCCGGCCGCGGCGGGGAGAATTGAAGACTGTCGCCGGGTTCGCCCCGCCCGCAGGATCGCCGCCTGAGGGCGGGGCCAGCCCCGCCCGCCTCAGCCCCGCCCTCACTCCGCCGAGTTTGGAAACTTCAGTAGGCTAGGCAGATCGCATAAGGTTTTTGTCTCAAGGCGAAAGTGCAGTTGAGGCCTTCTGCTTGCTTGGCTCCCAATAAATTTTATCTGTGGATGGGAGCAGAGCGTAGTGGCCAGCGAGGTCAGGAATTGCCTCATTGTACCGGACTCAAAAACACAGGTGTGTGAGGACTCTTGTGCAAGTCCTGGTGTGGCCCTGGAACCTCCCTGCAGGACTCTCAGCTAATCCAACAGTGAGAGACTGTCCCCTACCTGACTTAACTTCTTACTTTTGGTGGGAGTCCCACACCTGGTCATCACCCAAGCGTCTCTTCAGTGGCCAAGACCTCTGTCTGCCCTCCAGGCTTACCAAAGATGGCAGTGTGTGAGAGAGCAAGCTTTGTCCACGTCACTTGCTGGCAGGTGGCACTGCTACTATGTGAGTGTGGCACTTGCATGATTTCAGAGCGAATCTCTGGGTTTAATTGTGGTGTGCACACTGTCTGATGGTCCATCTGCCAGGCGCATATACATGCTGTCCTGGAAACCCTGTTTTTGTTCTGGGAGGGCACAGAAGCTAACGAGGGGGAGTCACTAGGATGGTGTTTCCCACTCCTCTCAGTGGCTGCTGGTCACAATGAAGACACTACTGTGCGGAGCAGGTATAGGCGACCTTCCGTCTGCATGGTTTTCAGTGTAACTCCCAATCCTGCCTCACATTCAATTGGAAACTTACTTGAAATAGGACACGACATGAGATATTTGGGTAAGGTTTTTTTTTCTTCTTGGCAATTGGATTGGGTGCTTCTCCAGTGTGAACTTTGTAGACGACAAGGTTCTGTCACTATGTCAAAAATTTGAAGATCCTGTATCTGGAGAAAAGGGCTCCAACTTGGGGGTTTGTGACATGAGCACTGTGTGCGCGATCCGGGAGCAAATGATGCATTACATACAAGCTTTGTTTAAACACCGTGGTGATGGATAGTGCTGTGCCCGGTGGCCTGGATGGAGAGTGTGCCAAATGTCCTGGGATGCTCTTCTGTGCCTGAGCGTACTCCCTGGAAAACATGCTTGTCAGTGAGGGCTAGGCTGCCCTGGCTCCATGGCTAGTTAGTAATCTGTGAACCACAACATTCAACACACACACACACACACACACACACTCACGCATGCACAATCAGCAGGACCACCCTCAGGAGACAGACTTGTTACCACACTCTCATGTCAGCTAAGTCAGAAAGCTTCAGGCTTTTTAGTGTGTGGGGAGTTTTTTTTTTTTAATCTGTTGTTTTTGTACTATCTGTCCCTCTACTGGCAAAGAATATACATTGCTTGGGAGTACCTGGGCATGACCTAGGCATAACTTCCTTGTTCCTAATAACCTTAAAAGAGAGCACTGTAATGTTTCCTCTTCAGTTGCCTTTCTTTTAGTTTTTGGTTGAGTTATAAGAACCTTAAAGCCTCCTTCCATGACTATTTCAAAGGATGATCAAGATTGTTCATTCATGTACCAAGATTTACAGTCACAAGCTGACGCTGGGGAAACAGTGGCAGCCAAAACCAGCTCCCTTTCTCTAGGAACCACCTGGCTAGAGACAGAAAGCGAGCAGAGATTTTAACAGAGTTTCTAGTAAGGAAAGTACAGACTAAGAAAGGGATGCAGGGTGGAGAACGGGGAGGGCTTCCTGGAGGAGGTAGTCTGTTAGCCGAGACTTGAGAGTTGAGTTGGCAGTGGAGATGAATAGGAGATAAATAGGAAGGGATTTGTACTCTTGGAGCTAAGGGCCTACAGTTTGAGGGGCTGACATAGTTTGATGCCTTGCTTAGGACAGAACCAGCCTTGAGTGTAGGCTATTCCCTTGCCCCTCCTTCCTCTATAGCCCCCAGAAGAAAAGCTCTATCAGGCATACAGTTATCATGCCATATAAAAGTAAAAATATTAGAAGGATCCATATGCGTGCTGTTTTGTGTTGAGTGGCCTGCTCTTTGGATCTGACCAATCCACTCTGAGGTTCTGCAATTAACACCTATGATGGAACGGATGATAAATAACAGGATTTTCATAGCTTCAACTCTTGGGGTACATCAAGGACTCCACAAAAACACTTTACAGCATAGTATGGCAGGGATCAGTCAGATGCTGAGAAACCCCCTTTCCTTTTCCTGGGAACATGGAACAACTGCTTCCCAGTGTGTATCTGGAAAAGACAACCAGATGTTAAGCTGTGTAAAGTTGCAGCAGTGGATGCCACATCCAGGTCTCGCCTCTGACTCTTCCAGTGCTGCTCTGCAGGCACCCGGAGGATCCCAGCAGTGGGTGTTCTGCAGATGGAAACCCCAGGGCAGAGGGCAGAGGGCAGAGGGCAGAGGGCAGAGGGCAGAGACCTCCTTCACTCAGTAAGCAGCAGAGCTGAGGTCAGGCCTGGGCTGCTTGATCCTAGAACTTCTGTATCTCCTGTTTTGGCAATGGTACAGTTGAATCTCAGAAGAACCTTGCAAAACACAATATCAAGTGAGTTGAAAGAGAATTAGAATGTGGGGGGGGGGGGCAGCTCAGGGCTGAGAGGATGGTGTTGTGGTGAGCCCAGGAAACCAATGGGTACGGTTAGGCAGACATCTTGCTCCCAAGGCAATTCTTAGATTCTCAGAGCACATTTGAAAGCTGGATGGCTGCACTCTGCCACTTTCACTGAACTCCATCTGGGTCTCTGTGGTGATGCTTCTGCATAGACTTCACAGGGGGTCGGTCCATCATCTGGGCAGCAGGAAACAGTGCTCCGACGGGCAGGCATGGCTTGTCTCGGGACTAGTGTTTGGGGAAGTTCCAGGTCTTGTGATCACACTGACAGAACAGTACATAACAGAGAAACCCACAGCCATGGACTCTGAAACGGAGACAGAAAGGAGGAAGCTGCCTGGGGAAACTTGGCAGTCCTTGGGGTGAGAAGGTACAGGAACTGCCAAGACTTAGCCAGGGCTCCAGGCCTGCTCAGCTCAGCCCCAGTCCTGGGAGGAACCTTCTGAATGTATCTGTAGAAACTAATTCATGACCACTCCCTTTCACTCTCTGCCCAACACCTTCCTGGCTCAGTGAGAGGGGGCTCCGAAGGGATGTGCTCTGAACAGTGAGAGGGGGCTCCGAAGGGATGTGCTCTGAACAGTGAATGGGGCTCAGAAGGGATGTGCTCTGAACAGTGGCTCGGACGTGAATACCTTGCATATGGTGGTGGTGCTGCTGCACTTCACCTGGGTTGCGAGGGAGCATCCTCGAACTTGTAGATGGGAGCAGATTTGCATTTTAAATAGAATCACAGAACACAGAACGTGGAGGTAAGTCCTTGGTGACTCGCTCACTTAGCAGAATTCAAACCCAGCTTTCCAGATTCAAGTTCTTCTGCCTGCCATGTCTCAGCAGCTCAACTTGTGGAACTCTGTCAGCTATGGTCGCTTGTCCTGCCTGCTGGCTTGGAGGAAAGGGGGAGAAATGCCACTCTTCCCGGTGAAGGTGAAAGTCTTGCTGACTCCTTGAAGCTGCAGACCCAGGCTAAGAGCCTCCTCAATCCTGCAGTCCGTGTAGGACCCTGCTCTTGATGGACACTCAACGTGGAGCCTTCGAAAGGGGAAACCTCATTCTAGCTTTTCCACCACCAGTTTTATGACCTTATCCCAAGGCCCTGGGCTTCTATGAGCTACTCCGTGACTGAAATCGTTGTAACCTTGTTGGGCTATTGGAAGGCTGGACACTAAAACATGGAGATGACTGGTGCAGATGTGGTCAGCAGAAATAGCCAGCAGCCACCTGCTGTGTAGACAGAGTCAGCTCGTTGCCCCTCAGTCTGGATTTGTGTGACTTCCCTCTGGTTGTGGTATGTGCTATGCATGACAGAGGCCTGTGTTCCTGGGATACCTCGCTTCATCTGAATGATTTTTAGGAGCATCATCTTAGCAGGAGAGGGTGTGGGCCTGTCCACTGTCCTTCCTTATGCACTCAGATGCAAGCAACTGAGCACAGATCATACACAGAAATATCCCAGCCAGTTAAAAGAAGGGTATGTCTTCTTTCTACAACCCAGATGGCCTTGACGTCTCCTGTTTTTGAGGGTATCATATCCTCTTTCTTCTAAAATAACAGCATCCCCAACCTCTATCTCCCAAATGAGGGAAGCTGATCTGCTGCTGCATTTCCAGACCAGAGCCCACCTAGTGGGCTCACAGCAGATCATCTCTCTGTTGCACAAAGAGACCTCTGAGCTGCAGCAGCCTGCTTCAGGCATGTACACAGACACAATGCATTTTAAAACGCTGCAGGACATGTGCAGATACCAAAAGTAGCCAAGATATTGTTGCTTGCAATTGCTTCAGGACATGGCACTTATAATTATATTGAAGCAATAAATATGCTGCTTCAGGACAGGCAGTCAGAGGGCCACCAGTTCAGCCCCACTCTGCATTGGACAGTCTGTACAGGGGGGCAGGCCAACACTCCCTACCTTCAACTTCTCCAGGCCTCTCCATAAGAGAGCCGGTCCTTTTCTCTGTTCCCAAGCCCACTCATTTTTACTTATCTCTTTTAGCTCAAGATGGCTCACAGTAGGAATCGCACCATCCTTTAAGAAGAATTCCCAGCTACAGTGCAGTGCTGTGATTCCACTCCGGTGGACCACACACGACACACATTGCCTAAATAATACTAGGTGGGGCAGAAGTTGTGTACAGACGGTGACATACGAGGCCTTTCCATTAATGGTCCCTCTGGGGAGGGGACGAGACCAGGTTGGCCTGCATGGGGGTTCCCTGGGCTTCTGTGAACAGTACTCATGTCACCAATCAGCTGGCTGGAGTAGGCCAGGGGTAGGTGGCTGTTTTATTATAGACCTGGGTCCTTAAGTGCCAAAAAAGTATGAGCTAAGCT